GGCCAGGAGAAATACTGGTCTCCCACCCTTGTACCACCTTCCAAACAAGGAAAGCAAGGTTTGTACCAAAAACAAACCAAAGCGGATGCAAGACGAGAAATCGGGAGGCGAAACACGCGGTCAAAAGCCCCGAAAACTAGCTGATGAGCATCAAAAGTGGTATGCAACCACAAAAGTGGTCTCCCGGACCACAGTGTTCCTCTAGGCAGAGGCAACAAGGTGCGGTTCAAAAATCACACCAAACGGAGAATGTTAAGCGGTCCTGAGACAAGGCGCGCGGCCAAAAGCTCCAAAAACCGGGAACTAGTCTCCAAACAAAAAAAGTGGCCTACGACTATGAAAAATAGTCTACGACCACAGAGAGATGGTCTACAAGACCACTCCCTCCCTCCAGGAAGGGAAAACAAGACTTAGTCCACAAACTGAGTCAAAGCACAAAGAGTTCAGAGGCCCGAAGGCAAGGCTCTCAGCCAAAACTTTGAAACCTTAGAACGAGCACAACATGCACCATCACCGAGCGCTCAATCGATGACGTCTGAGTCTTAAGGTCGGTTAAAAATGAGGTGTCTACAGAAGCCAGCTTCAAAGCTGCCTATGGAGGCCACTGCTTGGCCCTGATCCCCTGTCTTAAGCCTAATTCAGGCCTTTTGTCAGGTTGGTTACCTTGCATCTTGTTTGAGGCTGATCTTGGAGGCCAATCTTTGGCTCTGATTCTATAACTTGAGCCCACTTCAGGCCTTCTCTCAGGATAATTGTCTTCCATTCTGTAGTAGTTGGGTGGTCTGAACTCATGCAGAGGTCTCCTATCCTTGGGATGTACCCTAGCGACTGATGGTCCAACCAAAGATGACTGTTGTCTGGGACCAGTTGGATATGGCCTCTTATTATAGGTATTGGTTGGTTTAGGGCGTCTCTACACATCCTTGTAATACTGTTTTCCATCTATTGGGAGACCTTTCAACCATTTGTAACTTAACCTACATCTGGGACACATCATTTGCATGACAGCTGTCTCTAAAGAGTCATCATCTAGTGCCTCCTCACTAGAGTCCTCTTTTTGGTTCGAAAAGCTTTGTCCATCTGCTGGTGAACTTCTGATATCTTTTTTGGAAGTAGTTTGGCTGGCAACATGCATCGGCATATTAACCTCCTCCAATTTCTTCAATGATAGATTTTGGAAGTCACGTATACCAACATTGGTTGTAGCTTTCCCAATCTTTGGGAGTGGGTTAGAGTTAATCCCCATAGCTTTCTCTACTTTGCCTGGGAACTTTAAACTCTCTTTTCGAATATGTTCTTGGATCCTGTCCTGAAAAATAATATAGTTTTTAGTTGAATGAGACCAAGAATTGTGTCATTTACAATACATTTTCCCTTTAAGTTCTTCTGGAAAAGGAATTTTAACTCCCTTTGGTAACTTTAGGAAATTTGCTGCAAGCAAATGATCAAAAATGTCATCTGCCTTTGATAAATCAAAAGAGTACTTCCTATGAATGTCTTTCTTTTTAAACTGTTGGTCTATTGTAGTGTCCTTATGAATGAATGCCTCACAGGTTATAGGCTCCTACAATCTCTGCATCAATCTCGTAATTAGGGTCCCTATAATAGGTCTTGTATAATACATTACTTTGATCTTGTTCTTTCTCAAGTAATGATTCATATCTAGACACCTTATAGGTTAATTCCACTAAGTCTCGAAACTCAGTTGAGTCGAACTTCTTTCGAAGCCTAAACTATAAACCATTTTGAGCTAATCTCACAAATTCAGGCTTAGTAGAATGACCCTACACTTGTTTTGTGCTCTTTTGAATCTGGTAATAAATTGAACAACTTTCTCATCAGACCTTTGACTCAATCTTGCCAAGTTTGTCATGGAAACTTCTAGCTCTATTTGGAAAAATTGGGCATGATATGCCTTCTCCATTTGCTGCCAAGTTTGGATAGAGTCAGGTGTAAGGCTAATATACCATACAAAAGCTGCCCCAGTTAGAGAATTTGAAAAAAGTCTTAGCTTCATGTAATCATTATTGGTAAATTCATCACACTGGGTTGCGAACCTAGCAATGGGTTCTACTGTTGACTGGTTTCCATTCCCATAAAAAAGAACAAAGTCTGGTAGTCTAAACCCCTTTGGGTATTTGTGCAACCTATCCACCCATTTTAGGTACGGCTTCCTATACACAAGAGTTTGAACCCCCCAAGCCATAGGTCCACACATTTCTCTGACAATATCAGCGATTTGGTCCCTAGGAACCATATTGTATGCTTGTTGGACTACCACTGGAGGAACAAACACAGGATTTAGTGGAAACCCTTGCGCTTGAGGTCCTCTTGGTCCATAGGGAGGTATATTTGGGACTGGCTGCTGTTGAGGGTATGGTTGACCTCTCTGAGCCTGTCTTTTGTAAGGACCTGCGAAAGGGGCTACAATAGAAGAAACAGGTGTTGTTTCTTTCTCAGTCGCAGGAAACCCTTCCAATCCGCCGTGTGTGAATTCGAACAGAAGATTAGTGAACCCCCTTATGCCAGGTATGGCTTCAAACATGGGATTTGGAAATATTCTCATGTCATTTTCTGGTATTGGCTCAGATCCACCAATTTGTATGGCTTCGATATTAGGTAATGAGGTATTTTGATTTACCATAGGCCTCGAAAGAGGCTCATACCATGACTGAGGTATAGGCGATGGTTTTTCATAATTTTGATTACTAATCTGACCATTAGTATATCCCTTACTTTGCATAGGCTGTTTATCTCTAGCCAATCGTTGCTGAGGAACATTTGAATTTTCCTCCATATGCCTTGTGCTAGTTGGTTGATGGGAATTTATCTAATCCATAAAGGATATTGCCCATCTTTCCATTGTGTTCATTAACTGTTGTCACATGGCATCTATCAGGCCTCTCCATGGATTCATTGGCTGAGTAGATGGAACAGTGGATGGTCCAATTCCATGGCCTCGTCCAATATTTTGAACATGTGGTGCATGTTCTGAATTACTAGTCTGTTCGACCATAGGTTCTGATGAGATAGGTGCTTCCATAGGATGTGTTATTACATTATCCTCTGGATCAGGTACTTCTACCTCTTCTTCCATACCTTCTTCCAAGCGTTCATTTTCTCATTGTCTCCTATGTTTAGCCATTTCAATTAGTCCCACTGGGTATGCCAAAAATATATATTGGCTTTTTGGCTTTCGAAGGTTAATTTTGTAATTTCAAGCGTGCCAGCAAAGGTCAATCAGTCTTTACAGAAAATTAATTACCAACCAATTATTAGACGATTGTGTTTTAGTTCTCTCAGTCTCAATGAAAAAGACTTTTACTAATAACTTGTTTAGGAGAATTTAGTAAATAATAATTAAATGAAGAATAATTTCAGAATTTCATTAAATAAAATGAAAAACTTACAATGATTTGACCCAGTCTCGTAGAGGTTTATATCAACAAATTATTTGAAACTACTCCTATGAATGAAGTGCAATACCGGAATTTGAAGTACAAAAATGTAAAGAATTGTAAAAATTGGCTGGGAAAACAATGTAAATAAAACTGATTTTTTGATCTGAGTCTGGATACTTCATTCTAGGGCCTTCTCTGCTATTTATAATTCTCAATGATAACTGTCGAAGTGGACTTCTAACCGTCGAAATGTTCTCCCATGATTGCTGAACATGTTCTCTCACAGTCAGTCCCACTACGCCATCTTTGCAGTTGGGCTTCCCTCTTGATTTTAAATTTGAACTTTGTGAGTAACCGTTAGGCCACATCACTTGATATCCCTCAATTGTTCCAATGCTACACAGATCCATTATTATCAATATGGGCTGACACGTGTCTGACTATGGTTGGCAACCTGTATTAACTCCTTAAATGACCTCTTCATGTCACGTGTTGAATTGTGATTGACTTTTACAAATTATACAGTCAACAATGAAGTAATAAAACAATCGTTTTTTTAATACAGCAAGAACCAATCTTAATGCTTTAGGGCGTTATCAAATGATATATAATTAGTGTAATGGGAAGTACAGAATCACACATCAAGCAATACAAAACTATGGCATTGAAATGTATTACCGCACAAGAAAACAAAAAATTACCCATAAATAAAAATCTAATTTTACGACATAGCACTACAACAAATAATGGAAAGAATATTTTAGAAAAAATTAGTAAAACATTTTTCTTCAACTTTGTGCAATAAGAGAGATTCAAGATATTGTTTTATTAGCTAAAATTTCTTGATGAAATTTCTCTATGATCATATCAAAAATAGAAATTTCTCTGTGATCATATCAAAGAAATTTCAAAATTTCTTTATGAAATCAGAAGAGAAATTTCTTTGTGTTAGGGGTGAAATTTCTCTGAGTCGGGCTGAAATTTCTTTGAGTCAGACACAAATTTCTCTGAGTCGAATTTTCTCTGTGAAAATATTGAGCAATCCCAACTACTATGAAAATATTATTTATATTTTATCTTATAAAATCTTAATATTAGAGATCTTAAAAAAAAAATCTCATTTTATCATATTTGGTCTACAAGTTAAGTGAAAAATGATTATGAAGAAAAATCTCTTACCAAAGTTATTTCATTTTTCACAAAAAATGATGAGATTTTGTAAAAAAAAAAAAAAATGATTGATTGTAAAATGTTTATAACACCAAATTTACCCCTAAAATACAAACAAATAAAATAAAATCTCACTCATATCTTTCTCTTACATGTTTTGCTTTCTTAGATCATCTCCTACTCTTCATCTAATTTGATTATAAATTTGAGTAAAAAGCTTGATTTGATATAAAATAGCCCAACCATTTCATCAAATTTTTTTCAAAATCTTTTTAAAAAATCTCATCTTATCCCAAATTTCTCTTTTCATCAAATTTGATAAAAAAAAATCATCCCCAATGCTTTATTTGATAAATAGATTAAAGATGATTTTTTGAGCACTTTCTCATCAAATTTAAATTTGATGGAAAAAAAGGTTAAATTTGATGGTTATGTATTTTTCTGTTAGAGTTAACAAATTATTGTTCATAAATAAAGTTACGAATAATAATGGTACGTATTTTATGATAATATTACACATTTTATAGTTAAAATACATTTCAGTAAAAAATATATATATATCATTGTCACAAAATGTATAACTTTACTTTCGAATTATAAATTGTCATAACTCTATAAAAAATATATATATAATATTACTATAAAAATGTGTAACATGGGTGTATATGTTTAACACGCTTGTACCGAAAGGTTGTATGATTTGCATGGACGAGAAAAACACATGAAAAGAAATTGACATTAAGCTTATTGGCAACCAAAACTAAAAGTTGAAAAGATTCGATGAAGAAAACAAGAAGCCACTTTCTTATTTTCGATCAAAACGTCTCAAAACGGATTGTTCAATGTAAAGACAGCCATATGCAAACTTTGGAACCACCTCCTCTCTCTCACTCTCTCTCTCTCTCTCATCCCCCCTTCCCCCAGCTGTTACAAAAACTCCTTTTTCTCACTCCTCCCCTTCTCCTTTTAACTCCCCTCCAACACACCCACCACCACCATTTGGGATACCTCAAACAAAAAAATTACATAAAATCTCTCTCTCTCTCTCTCTCTCTCTCTCTCTCTCTCTCATCACAGATAAATTGACACAAATGGGTCATGTGAATGGCCACTGGGGCCGCGGCAGCGATGCGGTGATCGATGTGGTGAAGCCGATGAATTTCACTGGAGGACTTGAATTCACTGGCTTGACTTACACTGTGCTAAAGAAGAAGGATGTTGGAGGGAATTTGGTGAAGCAAGAAGTGGATTTGTTGCATAGGATTACCGGGTATGCGCCAAAAGGGTCTATCACGGCGGTGATGGGGCCAAGTGGGGCTGGGAAGTCGACACTTTTGGATGGTCTGGCCGGGAGGATTGCAAGTGGGAGTTTGAAAGGGAAGGTGGCTTTAGATGGAGTGGATATGAGCCCAAGCTTGATTAAAAGGACTTCGGCGTATATTATGCAGGATGATCGATTGTTTCCAATGCTTACGGTTTATGAGACGTTTATGTTTGCTGCGGATTTTAGGTTGGGGCTGATATCAAGGGAGGAGAAGCAGCTGCGGGTTGAGAAGCTCATTGAGCAGCTTGGCTTATCGGTAATTCATGATCAACTAATTCTACTCTTTATTTCACTTGTGTTACTCGTTTTAATGTGTACTGCATTTGAATGACTTTTTAGCTTTCCGTTTAGGTAAACTCAGGTTAGAGCTAAATTAGAATTTGAGGTTGTTAGTTCAAAGTTTGTAGACTCTGAACTAAACTGATGGTTCTTCAAAATCGAATTTGGATTGGATTGGATTGGATTGGAATCATGGTTTGACTTTATATTACAAATTATAGAAATGAAAAATCGCCACATATTGTGTAGCAAAATTTATGATAATACTCAGGTCACAAGTAATTATATGAAAATGTATGTAGAATTATATATATATATATATATAAGCTTAGATCTCAAGTTCACTCGAGATAACTCGATAATCATCATCCGACCTGGTTTTAGACCTCGAATTGAACTGTATGCCTTCAATGACTAAATCAACCAAACCCATAAAGGTTGACATGGTGGATGAGGTGGCTCACTTCCCATATTCCCTTTTTTACCAATTGGGTAAAAATAATTCAGGTAAATTACACTTACCTTCTTAAGATTTAGAAAAAAATACAATTAATTTTACACTTTTGATATAGTTATACTAACCTCCATTTTGGTATGATTAAAATGATTTAAACTAATGCATATAGTGAGTAAACATTGAAATGAACAAAAATAAATATAGATTTTACTTAAAAATATATGACAATATTATTTTTTAACTCATACGATTCATAAACTATTGATAAAAAATAACTTATTATTGTTAAAATCTAGTGTAATTATGTCAAAAACGTGAAGTTGAATTATATTTTTTTCAAGTCTTAGAGGAGGTGAGTGTAATTTATTCAAAAATTGAATGTCGCGGGTAAGGCAGTGGATTAATCTCTGTTCCTCTTTGAAACGGTTCAAACTTTTTTTTTTTCTTTTTTTCTTTTTTTCCCCAGAACGGAATACATAAAAAACCAAGAAACAAAAAACAAAAGAACAACTTAGGAAGCATCCCTGAAATTGACTGGAACGATGAAACCAAGCCTAAAATATCTTAGGAATTAACGTATTACGTGGATTTTCAAGATCCTCTATTGGAATTACCAAGTCATTCTTCTTAAAATAAAAATATTGCTTGAAATTGACATTGTCACGTATTATTTTCTTTTGCAGTCGACTAGAAACACTTACATCGGCGACGAAGGCACTCGGGGAGTCTCTGGCGGCGAGCGTCGTAGAGTCTCAATCGGCATCGACATCATCCATGGCCCCTCCCTCCTTTTCCTCGACGAGCCCACATCTGGGCTCGACTCCACCAGTGCTCACAGCGTCATCGAAAAAGTCCATGACATTGCTCGCTCTGGCAGCACCGTGATCCTCACAATCCACCAACCTTCCTCCAGAATCCAGCTCCTCCTGGACCATCTCATTATCCTCGCTCGAGGAATGCTCATGTACCAGGGATCCCCTAAAGACGTGGCTCTCCACCTTGGCCGAATGGGGAAAAAAGTCCCGAAAGGCGAGAACTCGATAGAGTTCCTCATTGATATCATTCAAGAGTATGATCAGACCGAGCACGGGGTTCAGCTGCTGGCAGAGTTTGCGCTGACGGGGTTGAAACCGCCAAGGTTGGATGAGGAGGAGTCGATGATGACAGTGGTGCCAACACCATCTCCGGCTCCACGTGGAGGGCGGAATAGGGTGGAGGGTAATGGTGGTGGTGGTGAGAAGGGGATGTCTGGGGGGAAGAGGCTGCACTTGCAGGCGGGTGCGCAGGATTCTGATTTTGATCACAGTGTAAAGAGTCCGTGGAACACGTCGAGGTCATGGAGTGCGGCTAGTCAGAGTGGGGTTATGCAGTCACTGAGGTTCACGCCGACTCGGCAGAGGTCAAGTGATCATCACAGATCTGAGATCTCAATGAGGTAAATCTTCCCATTCATTGTAGATTGTATCTATATTGTAGCTCCATAAAAATCAGTACATCCTAAATTTTTCTTGAGTTTATTGTATAACAAAATCACAACCAACAATTTGATAGTGTCGTTGTGCAGTTCATCACCCGGCTACTACACCAACTCCAACGAGATCCTTGGCGGCACTCCAACACCTCACAGCAGCGACTACACTGTCAACGAAAACGACTACCTCACCCCCAACAACATTGCTCAGGCCACTGCACACAACCATCTTGGACCAAAATTCTGTAACTCATTCTTCACCGAGATCTGGATCCTCATCCGCCGCAACTTCAAAAACATCCACCGCACCCCCGAGCTCTTCCTTTCCCGCCTCATGGTCCTCACCGTCATGGGCTTCATGATGGCCACAATGTTCATGAACCCCAAAAGAAACATGCAAGGCATAACCAACCGACTCAGTTTCTTCATCTTCACCGTCTGCCTCTTTTTCTTCTCTTCCAATGACGCTGTCCCCGCATTCATCCAAGAACGGTTTATATTCATCCGTGAGACTTCCCACAATGCTTATCGTGCATCCTCGTACACCATTGCCAGCCTCCTCACTTATCTCCCTTTCCTCCTTCTCCAGGCTGGTGTCTACGCTGGGATCGTTTGGTTCGCCTTGAAGCTCCGCGGATCATTCTTCTACTTCCTCGTCGTTCTCTATGTGTCTCTTCTTTCCACCAACTCATTCGTCGTGTTTGTCAGCTCAGTGGTTCCAAACTACATCTTGGGTTATGCGGCGGTCATCGCTTTCACTGCTCTGTTTTTCTTGTTCTGTGGATACTTTTTGAACAGTCACGACATACCGACATATTGGAAATGGATGAACAAGATTTCAACCATGACATACCCATATGAAGGGCTTTTGATGAATGAGTTTCAAACAAATAAGAGTTTCGGAAACAATACGCTCGGAGCTGAGGTCTCGGGGATCGTCATCTTGTCACAGCTGCATATTTACAACAAGGATGATTCTAAGAAGTGGGAAAAGGTTTTCATAATGCTGGGTTGGGCTGTTCTATATAGGGTTTTCTTTTACTTGGTTCTGCGATTTGGTTCGAAAAACCAGAGGACATAGAGAAAGAGAGAGAGTGAGAACAGAGAGTTGGAAAAGGAAAAAAAGTGAACCTGAATTTGTTGTTAGAACATACTTTTTTTTTTTTTAGCTCTAATGAGCCTCTTTTAAAATGGTTTTTTTCTTGAATTTATACATGTTAATACATGCATGAATTGTTCTGTTGATAGTACTTACCATTATAATAGTAAATTTACCAAAGTTGTAGGATTTGACAAGTGCGAGCTCGTTGTAAATCAACTGCAAATCGTTGATGATATACTGTTTTCAATCATATGATTATATATGGCTGTAAAAAATAAAACCTACTAAGAGGGATTTTCGTTACTTGAATTTGGTAGATAGAAATGATGGATTGAAATGTTTGGCTATCTTCATGGGGCGAAGGTGAGGGGTGATGAACCTTTTTGTCTTTTCAATTACACGATCGTTACTTGAGAATTTTATGACATCATGCAGTTGAGAATACATTGAAACAGGTGGGCATAGATTTGAGTAAGAATCGTGCTAGGGAGCTCGAATTTGAGTCCCCCGAATCCCCCTAATTCAAAAAACGACGTCGTTTTTGAATTTTTTTTTTCTTCAGAAGAAGAAAATCAAAATAAGGAAGAAGAGGAAGGAGGAAGAAGAAGGAGGAGGACTGGAAGGGGCCCAACAAATCGGGCTGGAGGCGGAGACAGGGGGCGGGGGCTGCGAGGCAGAAGCGGAGGCGGAGGCGACGGCGGGACTGCGACGATCTGCGACGAGCTGCGACGGCGGGCGACGATCCTCCGCTTTCCCTCTCTTCTCTCTCTCTCTGTCTCTCTCTTCTGCATTTCGGGCTATTCGGGAGGGGAATTTTGGGGAAAAAAACATTTTCCTTTGAGTAAAGAGAATGCTTATAGCTTGATTACTTGTCAAATAGGTAATATCATTAAACTTACGCTTCGTTTGTTTGAGAGAAAAAAAAATTCTGCATTTTCTACAGCTTGATACAACGAAAAAAAAAAAAAATTCAACTGAATTTTTTTTTGTGATTAACAAAAAATAAGCTTATTTAGGTAGAAAGTGTTTTTTTTTTCAGACGAAAAGCTTATTGATGCCACCACACCTCCAACTCCACCACCTCCACATCATCGGGACACCATTAATACAATCACTAGTACGCATTAATATTTTTCTAAAAAAATATTGGGTAAATTACACTTACAATCCCTATGTTTGAGTTTAATACATATCACCTTTAACGTTTAAAAAATTACACTAACACCTTGTCATTATAATTATTTAGACAAAATGAAAACATTGAACTCATGCAGTCTCTCTTTTTTTGCTTTGCTTTATTTTCTCTTTTTTTTGCCCTTTCCTTTACTTTTTTTTTAATGTAATTTCATCTATTTTTCTACTAAGAGTTATTACCTTTTATATAAATAGGGGATTTGTGAAATGAGACTATTAACCACAGGAGTGAGAATGTTAGAATTTACCATCACCTACCACCACTACCACCTCACCTACTCCACTAAACCTAACCCACTACACCACTACCACCTCCACTTCACCTACTCCACCACTCCATCTCCACTTCACATCTCCTATATATAGGAATCAATGTAAACATCAGAAAATACACAACATATATCAATCAATAATACATCAATTTTAACAGAAATGATGGATTGAAATGTTTGGCTATCTTCATGGGACGAAGGTGAGGGGTGATGAACCTTTTTGTCTTTTCAATTACACGATCGTTACTTGAGAATTTTATGACATCATGCAGTTGAGAATACATTGAAACAGGTGGGCATAGATTTGAGTAAGAATCGTGTTAGGGAGCTCGAATTTGAGTCTCCCGAATCCCCCTAATTCAAAAAACGACGTCGTTTTTGAAATTTTTTTTTTTTTTCAGAAGAAGAAAATCAGAAGAAGGAAGAAGAGGAAGGAGGAAGAAGGAGGAGGACTGGAGGGGGCCCAACAAATCGGGCTGGAGGCGGAGACAGGGGGCGGGGGCTGCGAGGCAGAGGCGGAGGCGGAGGCGACGGCGGGACTGCGACGATCTGCGACGACGAGGCGACGAGCTACGACGATCCTCCGCTTCCCCTCTCTTCTCTCTCTCTCTCTCTTCTGCATTTCGGGCTATTCTGGAGGGGAATTTCGGGGAAAAAAACATTTTCCTTTGAGTAAAGAGAATGCTTATAGCTTGATTACTTGTCAAATAGGTAATATCATTAAACGTACGCTTCGTTTGTTTGAGAGAAAAAAAAATTCTGCATTTTCTACAGCTTGATACAACGAAAAAAAAAAAAAATCAACTGAATTTTTTTTTTGTGATTAACAAAAAATAAGCTTATTTAGGTAGAAAGTGTTTTTTTTTTTAGACGAAAAGCTTATTGATGCCACCACACCTCCAACTCCACCACCTCCACATCATCGGGACACCATTAATACAATCACTAGTACGCATTAATATTTTTCTAAAAAAATATTGGGTAAATTACACTTACAATCCCAATGTTTGAGTTTAATACATATCACCTTTAACGTTTAAAAAATTACACTAACCCCTTGTCATTATAATTATTTAGACAAAATGAAAACATTGAACTCATGCAGTCTCTCTTTTTTTGCTTTGCTTTATTTTCTCTTTTTTTTGCCCTTTCCTTTACTTTTTTTTTAATGTAATTTCATCTATTTTTCTACTAAGAGTTATTACCTTTTATATAAATAGGGGATTTGTGAAATGAGACTATTAACCACAGGAGTGAGAATATAATTTTTAAAACATCAAGAAGTGAGTAGTAATTAGACCAAACCTCAAAAGGTGTCAATGTAATTTACCCAAAAATATTTGGTTGAAAAATATTTCCTATCAATACAAAAGGTGTGTTAATTTCTAGCTATAATAGCAACAGAGCCTATGATCTGTTCCAAAGCAGGAAGATCATAACACTAGCTTTGATCAGACCGTCGATGCATTAGCATCCAAGCAATGTTATAATCGCTGCAATCAAATCGCTGCAATTCAAGCTTCACCTCCATCAAATTCTCTCTCTCTCTCTCTCAATACATATAATTATATTGTATGATGGTACTCCTTGTCCAGCAGAGTCTAGCCAGTTAAGCGTCTTTTTTTTTTTAAAAAAAAAAAAAAATTATATACACATATATAAATAAGATGAGCATGGCGTAGAAGTCCTAATGAATAAGATATTAAATTAAAAAATTATAATAATATATATATAGATAGTAATCAGCCGTTCCAGCAAAAGCATCTTATACTTATTCCTTCCCAGTCTGTTTAAATATATTTTACTAACTCTTTTTTTTTTTTTGGTTAAATTGTTAAAGCAATATATATAGCCCAATCATTGGCTTTCTAGCTGCCTTTGATTGGACGCAACTCCCAAACAATCTCTAATTAGTTACCAGATTAATTAACCAGGCAACAATATACAGCGATTGTACAAATTTGTTCAAGTGTTTTCTTTCTTCTTTTTTATTTTTATTTTTTTATTTTTTAATTCTTATTTTTATCAATAATGCTTTAATAATCACATTACGGAACTTCAAACAAGTCAAAAGATGAAACTTGAGGTGTAATTATTCAATAATCTCATAGCCCAACATGACTATTGTCTATGTGATGCTCCAAATCAATCATGTAACTTAACATGTCACTCCAAATCAATCATGTAACTTAATATGTCACCTTTATTAGGAGACAAATAATAACTCATGTCGTGTTTGTTTGGGCGAACTAGATTAAATGAAATTCGCCATGTTTATTTCTAATTTTTTAAAAATACTTTTCAGAAAATTCTACTTTCTTATTTTTCGTAAGTACTTATTTTTACTGAATTTTTTTAATATTTTAAACAATTTTTTTTTAAATTTTTAGACACACCTAACATAAATACACTTAAAAAGTATAATTTTCGTGAAAAAATCTTTAAAAAATTCATTAAATACTAAAAATAAAAAAATACAAAAATTCAGTATATTTTTCATATTTTTGTATATATATTAATTTTTTAAAATATTTTTTCACAAATATTTTACTTTTTAGATACATCTAAGTAAGGTGCATCGAAAAAAATAAAAAAAAAATGTTTAAAATTTTTAAAATATTCACTAAAAACAAAAACAAAACAAAAAACACGAAAAACAAAAAACTCAATTTTCAAAAAATTAAATTTAAAAAACTAAAACCAAACACACTAGCATTTAAACGGTTAGTCCTAGAATTATCAATTTTTTGGAATTGTTTATCCTATTCCATGTTTAAATTGTTTTATGTTTATAAAGAGGGATTGACAAAACCTATCAATTTTACAATTTAACTAATAAATCTAAACATTTACTTACTCCATTTTATATCTCACCCCTTTCTTGGAATTCAATAGTCTCCTATACAAGGAATACTATGTCTAAATAGATTACTAGTCCAAACACCAATTTGCTCAGCTAAATATCAAATCTTGCATTTTGTAGGATTATTAATCCAATCCCAATGTTAAGTCCTCCAAACAAACATTTAGCGTGCATTACAATTTCTTATTGGTTGAAAGTATCACGTAGACAATACCACATAATATTCCCGACATATAGTTTATATATTATCTTTCTTCTAGAATTCAGTCTTGTATGATCTTGCTAAATTACATTTTAACCGATATTGTGACAAAATCTACCAACTCATGACAATGCTATAAAATCGAGTTAATTGACCGAGTTATCTACCCTACGTAGTCATGAATATCCCAATCTTTCATAAACACTCATCCCACCCTTTTCAACTGTCAATATCTACATCTCCTCTGCAAGACAATAAGGACGATTAAAACCAACAATAACAAATATTGAGATTTTCTAAGCCAAGATTAATCGAGAGTTTCATCGCGCAACTGTGAGATTTGCACCCAAGCATCAGGCCGATAAGAAAACCCCTCATCGGTGAAATATGAATAGTAGCCAACCATACTGGAACTAGAGGCCAAATCCCAACCTCATTTCCACAAAGTTACATTCAGGAGGGAAAAAGACAAGAAGAGAGACGAGGACGAAGGGTTGCTCCGCCACATTATTTTAATAAAAATTTAACCACCACCACCAAAACAACTGATAATATTCAATTATATTTAATAATTAACTCACATAAAAAATAATAATTAAATTTGGATTATCTTAATTCAAGCTCTCTCCAATCTTTGTTTTCTATACTTCTGTGGTACTACCCACATTTTGAAGTCAAACAAAGGTTTTACCAATCTCTTCCCTCTACAAGACTTCCTCTGTTTTGATTCTTTTTTGTCCCTAAAGGGTAGTTGAATCTTTTGCTCCAAACAATAAATAGAAGACTTGTTACAAGTTGAGTGTTTTCAGGTTTGAGTCTTGTTCATGGGTTTCAGAATAGTTGGTGCAAGTTGATGGGTTAAGTTTGATTATGAGTTTGATACTCAGATGGATCGACTTTGGTTTAGAATAATACGATGATGGAGGGATCAGATAACTGGAAATTGAGACCGGTTAACTGTTTCATCCTTTGCCTCTTCTTTTCTATTCAATCAGCTCTTGCCCAAGAAGGTTAGTATGCAAACAGTTTTGGTTAAATCTTTGAAGATTATCAACTGAATCAGTTTAGTTATAATTAATTCGAGCAATTCTAATCTCAACTATATTTGGAATTTAATAGGGAAACCTACAATTCAGCAGAAATTCGATGATCTATTTGAGTTGATTGACACAAAATTGTACAGATCACCTAGATCCATCTGGTCATTATAATGTTTAAATATTGGGTAGATCTTTGAACAATGTCAAAGTATGATTAGAAAACAGAATATCAGATGTGTTTTTAGTTTTCTGATACAAATTCAGCGTAGGACTAATTGCTCTGATTAGCAATTAATCTTAATTTCCCAAAATGATCTTTTATTCTTAGCATTAATGTTAAATGTAATTTTATGCAGGTTTCGTCAGTATACAGTGTTGTGCCGATTCAAATTTTACAGATCCAATTACCAGAATTAATTGGATAACGGATAATGATTGGTACCCAGATAAATTAACTTGCCAAAACATAATCAGGCCAGTGCAAAATGACACGGGCTATGACAAAGCTCGATTGTTTAGCTCATGGTTTGGCGACAAATGGTGTTATAACCTAACGACAGTGAAGGATCGAGACTATCTTATAAGGGGAACATTCCTTTTAGGAGACGTGCAAAGCTCTTTTTATGTTTTGATCGGTGTGACACGGATAGGTATAGTGAACTCGTCAAATGATATGGAAATCGAGGGCGTTTTTAGAGCTACGAATGAACAGATAAACTTCTGCTTAGAGAAGGAGAAGGGAGATCCTTACATTTCGAAGCTTGAACTGAGACCTTTGAATGTTTCTGATTATCTAAAGCGAGAACCTTCAAGTGTTCTGAAATTGATTGATAGAGTTGATGTTGGGAGTGATGTACAGGAGATCAGGTACGGTACTCCATCTACAACCTAGAGGGCAAATGAAATAGAGACATAAGCTTGACCGTGTATGAAAGACAAAACATGAAATGCCATAAACATGAGTAAAAAACATCTGCCCCATTCAAAACCTACTAACTGCTGCAATAATTCCTTTTAATAGGTCTAAAAATGTTGATCATAAAAACAACAAATTCGCTTTTACTCATTAAGTAACCCACCTATTTCACTCCATAACCATTACTTCCACCAGTCTTCCTCCATTTTGCCTTACTAGCTCTGCCATTCCCCAAATTTTCCTATGATCACACATCAAAACTATCCGCTTTATAAGAAAATGCAAAGAACAAAAAAAGTTCATCATCTGGTTGGTATTTCTTCAACACTTTACCCCTAGGGAAAATAGATTACAGCCATGATTATAGTACTGCATAAATGTTTGTGATACCTAAAAATGAAGGACTTGACTACATAATTCAAAATTGTCATTTACTTAATCATAGTCAAAGCCCCAAAGACTATTGTAATACAGGTCACCTACACCCACAATAATTATAGACATGTAAACATGTACGCATTAAAGAATAACTTTTTCCATGTTAACATAATCTCAGGTATCCATATGACCCATATGATCGAATCTGGAGAAAGGAACTGAACCAAAACCAAACAGCCAATCGGACATCATCATCCACTGCCTATATCACCAATGGTAACACAACAGCACCTCCTATCCAAGTGCTACAAACAGCTCTAACCCATCCGGAGCGTTTGGAGTTCCTGCACAATGACCTTGATACAGGGTACTACAATTTTGATCTTTACCTATACTTTCTTGAGCTTAACAACACTGTTCAAGCTGGGCAAAGGGTGTTCGATATTTTCACCAACAATGAGAAAAGAGAGGAGACTGATATATTGGCTGGGGGTTCCAATTACCAAGCAGTCATTTTGAACTTCACTGCGAACGGGTTTCTTAATCTGACCTTGATCAAGGCCTCAAATGGATCCCAATTTGGACCCCTTATTAATGCTTATGAGATCTTGCAGGTGCACCCATGGGTTCAAGAGACTGCACAAGCAGATGGTAAATGATCATGCATTTCTCACAACTGAATTAATTCTACTTAATTACTTTCCTGATGCTACCAAACAGCTTATACTCTCTCTCTCTCTCTCTCTCTCTCTCTCTCTCTCTCTCTCTCTCTACAGTGGATATGATTCAGAAGGTTAGGAATGAGTTACTAATGGGTAACCAAGATAATGAGGTATTGAAAACTTGGTCCGGAGATCCATGTCTCCCTCTTCCCTGGCAAGGCCTGTATTGTGAGCACATCAATAATTTCCTAGTCATCACTAAACTGTAAGTCATATTTTGCCTTTCTTAATTTCTGGCAACTGATTTTATATGAAATGCGAATTATTATTCTCCCCCCACCCTTGTCCTTGAATTAACTCCATTTCTAAATGATATAACAAATGTTATAGTTCATACATTCTATATGACTGAAATATATAGTTTCTTTATAACTGTATTGTTTCTTCATTTCCAAACTTTTTCAGGTATCTTTCTTTCAGTAAACTCCAAGGACCACTTCCTTCCAGTATTACTGAGCTGACCCACCTAAAGGAATTGTATGATTCACAACACTACTGATTGTTGTCGATGTGATTATGTTGTCTATGTTGTTGGAACTCTTTGTAGCTTTATTAATTAGTAGTGGAATGCAGGAATATAAGCAACAATGACTTTATTGACGCCATCCCTGCATTCCCAGCTTCTTCCGTGTTGACCTCAGTGTAATCTCTCTCTCTAACTCCAGTTTGAGCAGTTCATAATTAGTTAAGCCATTGAATTCCTTGAGCCATTGTCAATTTTATATTTGTTGCAAAATTTTGAGGATCTTAAAAAGATATTACGTAAACTACAATCAGTTTCTACTGTGTCAAAAACTCAGAACATAACAAGTCCATTCTGTTTCTTAAGTGAAAGGTGAACTAAGTTTTAGCGTAGACAAAATAGACTAATATTAATAAAGAAAAGGATTACAAGAGAACCGGAGGACAAGAAGTTCTCCGGAAAGGAAAAAAGAAAAGTAAACAATGTCTAAAGAAACATGTCACACACCCCTCCAATCCCTAGAAATCCAAAAAAGGTGGTAACTTAAAGGAAACAAAACTGAAGCCCAAAAAAATGACCAGTAACAAACTCTATCCCATAAGACATTAAAATCCTCGATCTTGTCCTCAAAGATTCTTGCATCTCGCTCCAACCAAACCTTTATAATCTGAGGATTCATTATTACATTTGGATATCTATTTCCCTTTCACTTAGATTGTTTAAATCTTTATGATTTATATAGACATACTGCCAAATCCTTCGCTTAATATTGCTGAAGGGTTGCCTAATTCAACATTGCACACTCAAAGATCTCTGCAATGTCAGTTCATCAATGTATGCAATGCTCTGAAAACCTGAGTAACTAAAAACCATAAATAATCAACACTTGCGAGTACTATTCTTTTCCTGCATCATATTCTACCCACTATTCATTGGGAGATTCATGATTTCAGCAGTGTACATAAGATAACATTTCGTGTTTTGGTGGTTGCTTTTTGTATCAGGGATCTAAGCCACAATGATCTTATGGGAAAGATTCCAGAATCCCTTACCTCACTTCCATATTTGAAAACATTGTAAGTTCAATGATTAATTTGTTTTGGCATTATAAATAAACTATCAAGATCCTACACAGGAGCCTTGTTCGGGAAAAAAAAAAAAGGGGGCAAAAGAAAGTCTTCCCTCAGTCACCAGTGTACCTAATTCAGTATTTATGTGCTTCCTCAGGTATTTTGGATGCAATCCTCATTTCAGTGAAGAGACTCCTGCCAACCTCAACAGTTCAAAACTTAAAACAGAGTATGAAACTTATGCCTCCAAATGCAAGAGCAATGGACATATCCATAATAAAAAGAGAAAATCTTATTTTCTTCATTTTTTTTTTCCTTTCAAATCTCCATTTTTTAGCGAAGGAGTGTGTAGCAGTCAAGAATCCTCACATACAGCACAGCAAATAGTCATAGGCACAGTTGCAGGTGGATCTTTGTCATTCGTAACTGTTGCAGTTGCAATTTTCCTTGTTTGTTTTCACAAACAAAAATTGATGGCTATGGGAAAATGGGGCAGCAAAGGACACCCAATGGCAAAGGGTAAGTGCACAGCACAAGTCTCTCCTTCCCTCCAGGATCTCCTAATTATACTTATAGTCTCAATGTGCTTGATGATGTATATGGTCTATCAACGAAAGTCTCCTAAATTGCAGGTTTAGTATTTTCTATCCCCGGCATGGATGAAATTGATGTGAAATCAATTTTTATACAAAATTTTACTCTGGAGTGTATAGAAACTGCCACCCAAAAGTACAAAACTAGGATAGGTGAAGGAGGTTTTGGATCCGTTTATCGTGGTACTCTAACTGATGGTCAGGAAGTGGCAGTGAAGGTCCGTTCAGCCACTTCAACTCAGGGAACTCGTGAATTCAATAATGAGGTAAAGTACTATATTGTTGTATCTTTATACCCAGATTCTGAAATCACTTACTGTTGTGTGTTCATATTTACCCTCACCAAGTTAACATTTACCCTAAAGAATTCCATAAAGACATTTTCAACATGGCCCATGGAACCATCAAGTTTCATTAGATATTTTTTTCTGTTCCATAATAAGTTTCCTGTCCATTTATATTTTAAACATTCTGGCAATAAATTAAGCAATAAGTTTTTTGTTATTCACTATTCCATCTTAGAGATATTGGCTATTTCAAATCAGAATACTAACCATGTATTTTTTGTAATTTTTCTTATCAGTGGTTTAATCTATTTATATTATTACAATTAGTTAAACAAATACATGTTTACGACTTTTCTCTATTCACACATAAGACAACTGACAGTTGTTATCAATTCATTATACAGCTCAACCTTTTGTCAGCTATTCGGCATGAAAATCTGGTCCCACTCCTGGGGTACTGTTGTGAAAATGACCAACAAATTCTTGTTTATCCTTTCATGTCCAATGGCTCCCTACAAGATCGGCTCTATGGTTACTTACTCTTCTAAACCTGAAGCTCTTTTAGTACAACTTTCGTAACGTTTATTTAGTATCCTTCATATTTACCTATTATTCAATATTTAACAGGGGAAGCAGCAAAACGAAAAACTCTAGACTGGCCAACCAGACTTTCCATTGCTCTTGGTGCTGCTCAAGGCAAGTAACAAGGAATCCATTGCATTCATAGATTTTGCTATGTGTACTATCATAAAGTAATAATAAATGGGCAGATAAAGTCATAGTGTATTGTTAACCTAGTACATGTCCTTAAAATAAATAATTTAAATAAAATAAAAATTAAAAAAAAGATTCATTACTGGATTGTATTTCAAGATGACCATAGTGCAATTCTGCATCTTAATTTGACTTCGAATATGGCGTTATTTGGCATGCACTTAGCATTGAAACATTTCAATGCTAATAAAAAAATGTCAGTAACATTTCAAGCATGGAGAACTGAATATCAAGTACCAAGATTATGACACAATGCAACTTGAAACTAACAAGATTTAAAATCTAGTATGATTCATAAAGTCACAAGAATTTATAGATACACAAGAAATGAATCTTTCAGAGAAACAGAGTTAAATAGAAAAATTACTAAAAAAAACTGCTAAAATGTAACAATCACCTGGTCAAATGCTTCCATGCAAAGTGCTATTAAAAAGAAAAAAAAGGGAAACATAATAACTTCTATGTGGCTTACCAAAAGATAAAAAGAAATTTTATGTGAAACCACTATGACATGATGTAGATATATTGTAAAGGCAATTTAATTTGATAATATCATAGAAACTAGCATATCTACCCATTTGCGTATTTTTGTAGCCTTGACCAAATTTTACCAACTTCAAAGATACTATCAATTCTAGAGAAACTCATGTATGACAGGCATTTTTTTTTTTTTTTTGGTGATAAATAAGAGACAAATATTATTAAAGAAAAAGCATCAAGGAAGCTCACAAGTGTGGTAAGTGCACAAATCTGTGACCCCTAGTACATAGCTATGATTAGACAGATTATATAAACCTTAAAGCGAATCGAGCCCTGTCAAGTTTTCGGCCTATTGATTGACATTGGCACGACTGGAATAATAGTCCCACTATGGTTGGACCCTGCCGGCTGTTTTGGTTCGACGTCCTAATCAGCTGTAGTAGACACAAATGTTTTCTTTGACATGACCTAATTCCCACAGAAAAATGTGGGAAGCCCTTGGAAAAGAAGGGGGCGGGGTTTTTATGGCATTAGTCCAGTGAGTACACTAAGGTATGATCTTGGATTAGAATAACAGATCATAGAATCTCTGAATTATAGGTGTCACTGATTGTGTGTTGACGATACCAGTGTTTTCTAGGAATGGTTGATGCCTCTTGATGGTGTCGGTAAGTACTGGCAGTGGTTATTGTGAAGTGAACCTGGCTACTAAAGGCCTCGTTTGGCAAGTTAATATTTTAGCCAAAAAGTCAAAAAGTTACTAAAAAAGCCAAAAAGTCTATAAGCTATACCAAAAAGTCAAAGATTCCATTTTCTCTCTACTTTTTGCACATCTTTTCGTAAAAAGCCAAAAAGTCACTCCAAACATACTAATTTTTTTTACCTCATATTTTAGTCAAAAAGCCAAAAAGTTACTAAAATAGCATGTTCCCAAACGAGACCAAGTATATAAGCATGAGGGTACCATCACCTCAATAACTAGCTTTTGGAATTGAGTTCTACCTAAGATCGTGTAATAGTTATACCATGATGGCAGATAAATTTCTGTTGTGCTGAAAGCGAACAAGTTAGGAAAAAGAGCAGAGAAAGAAAATCGAGGGCTACTCAAGTGTGAAGCATCTGATATAACATCATATGAGAAAGCCCATGAACATTTAGAAAATGAACATAGGGAGGAGGTATAGCACTGACATGCATCTGAACAAAACTATTGTAGAATTTGATCGCAAACCATGCAGTGTTCAATCCTGGTCTAACAAGTGAGAGCCTGACCTAGTGTTTTGTTAAATCAACACTCCTGTTCATCAAAACTGCCTTGCTTGTTTATCTCTTCTGATAATTGTTTGGAGAATTCCACAGAAATTGAATTTTATTTTCTTTTATTTTTCTAAGTATTTTCATTTTTCAGGTTTGATGTATCTTCACTCATTTGCTGGGCGCTGTGTCATACATAGGGATGTAAAATCGAGTAACATACTCCTCGATCATAGCATGTGCGCCAAGGTGGCAGATTTTGGTTTTTCAAAATATGCTCCTCAAGAAGGTGATAGTGGTGCTTCTCTAGAAGTAAGGGGGACAGCTGGATACTTGGATCCAGAGTAAGTATGGATGTTTTTCAAGAATATACATGATTTGGACTTCCATACCATGCCCAACTCTTAGACTATTTTGCTTGCATATGATCCATGATCAAAATTCTTGTAATCTTTTCACTAAAACGAGCATGGAGGATTTCTTACACGCTTAGCAGATCATTTTCCAAAAGGCTCCTTTCGTAACAAGTCAATTATTTCATCATATCCTAATCTATATTGTTCAGGTACTATTCCACCCAGCATTTGTCTGCAAAAAGTGACGTCTTCAGTTTTGGTGTTGTTCTACTTGAAATAATAAGTGGTAGAGAGCCTCTCAACATCCACAGGCCACGCAACGAGTGGAGCTTGGTTGAATGGGTATGGAATAATTTTATGTTCTTACCTTTCATAACGTTGCCACTCAAAATATTTCTCTTATATAAGTTACGTCTATAGACCTCTCCTGCACACAATTATCACACCTCAATTCAGAATTTTCGCACTCTTAAATAATCACCACATAACTTCTTCATCTGTTTAGTGGCCAATAACTAAAGGCTTGGTCAGCACCAAAATCAACATTCAACACAAGCTTAGCCTAACCTGTTTTATTTTGTTGTTTTCTCAATATATATAATTGTTTTCTAAGTTATCAACTTATTCATAGGAACATCACTAGTAAAGAAGTACCTTTTTCATACAGGCTAAACCATTTATAACGAACTCAAAAATTGATGGAATCGTGGATCCTAGCATAAAGGGAGGGTACCATGCAGAGGCCCTATGGAGAGTGGTAGAGGTGGCACTAGCATGTATTGAGCCCTTCTCTGCTTATCGACCGTGTATGGTTGACATTGTCCGGGAGCTGGAGGATGCTTTGATCATAGAGAACAATGCATCTGAATATATGAAGTCCATAGACAGCTTTGGAGGATCTAATCGCTTTTCCATAGAGAGGATGATTGTCCTTCCACCTACTCCAACAGAAACAGAAACATCCTCTATCCTTTCGCAACCCGCACCTCCACAACCAAGATAATGGTTTGGGTTAATGATGTATCTATGAATCACAAGTGATGATCGGTTTAGTAGCATTACATGATCAATGACGATAGATAATGAGGTTGATCCGTCAATGCTCTCCATAAGATACTAATGCAACTTCATGCCCATACAATTTTTCAACTAGAGCATTCTTACTAGAAACATTTAGGCACTGTATTGCATAATTTTCTTCTCATTAGTATACAGACTAGGAGAGGTAACTGAAATTTGGGGCCTCATCACTTGCACTCACCCAACCACAGGTCTCACAGGAAGTAAGAAATACATAGGCAACATCAATCAGAACATCCAGTTAAGCTGATATATAAGCAGGAAGTTCTTGAGCAAAGATGGTGCAAATATAATAGCTTAATTCCAATGGAATATATTCTGCGGAAAGAACATAAGATTTTGCCTACTCAAATAATATTTTTGATATGCACCCTTGCAAAAGGTCACAGAAGCAAGCCCATATTGATCCTTGCTCTTTTATTTGAAAGAACTGAAAGCTCTTCCATATAATTTTTTCAAAATATATACATCTCTAAAAGCTACCTCTATTTAGAAGCTTCACAAAACCCACAAGCTCAACAGCTGTTCTTTTTAACCTGTCCCTTGTCTTTTTGCACCTTTAACTCAAATCAAATCACTCCTTTGTACAGAGAACTAGTGTGGACATTGAATTCAGCCATACATTTCTGGACAACTTTCCCTCATCTTCAATCACTGCTGACTCCTAACTTCCCATGCCATGAGTGCATTCATTTCTTATTCAATTTTTTTCTTATCCTGCCTTTCATATACATCTAATCATTCCAACGCCATCTATGTCATGTTTCGTGTTTCATCTAGCAAACAACCACTTGAAATCCATAGAAGAATGATGGCAGTAAGTAGCCAACATAAACTTATATGCATCTTTTTAAGTATGATTCATACAGATTTCAGTCTTGCCAAGGAGAAAGAGATTGAAAAAGAAATCACTTGCAGAAGTAGAGCAAGATACATGAAATGAAGAAAGTATTGAGATACAAATCTATAAAAATAAAAATAAAATAAAATAAAAAAATTTGACTAATAAAGGAACTATAAGCAGTCCAACTAAATTTATTAGATAATCACTAGTTAAGAGCTAACATGCCCAGAAAATGCATAGATCAATCAACAACCTATGACATGGATTTCAACAAAATAATAATGAATAGATCAGATGCTAACAGGTTAAAAACACAACAGCCCAAGTGTTGTCTTCCCATTGTAAGATTGAAGAGTCGAAAGTTAGAAAATTTTAACTTGTGACAAATGAAATTGAAGGCAAGGAAAGAAAGTTCATTCATGTGACAACCCCGTTATGTGATATGCTATTAATCTTTAATTGGGTTCGGGTCATGACAATTCAAGTGATTCATTCATGTGCAAAATGATGCTGGGATGGAAGAACAATAGACGGCAAAAGCTCTCTTATGTAAGTGTGAGCACCGGAAGAAACGGTGGCTACCATACGATAACAAGATAGGAGAAAGGTCAGTTGAAATTGTCTGGAAATTTGCAAAAATAAAGACTGGTAACTGCAGGCTGCAGCAGGAGTAATACAGCCTCTTAAAAGAGTTCCAAGAACAAAGGAAAGGCAACCAAAAAAAAAAGAAAAAAAAAGTCAATGTTGAGGAAAAGTACAACATCATGCAAAGGATTTGCTTAAGTCACAAGTCAATAAGCAATAACAATTGCCCTATGAAAACTCGCTTTCGCTATGGCTCCACTGGGTTTCCTTAACTAAGCCACTGCCTATATGTGTCTGGCTCATTCTTTTTTTTCTTTTTCTTTTTTTCACCAACAAAGAATTTTATTAATAAACAAAAAAGAAAAGAAGATAAGGTATCATCTACAAAGAAGGCAAAGGAAGAAAGAAAGCGAATACAAAGCCCAAACAAGTCTACATCAAAATCCTTCTACATGTTTCTAGCTCATTCTTCAACAAGCACGCCCTCAAAGGCATGGGCTCCTCCCACTGCTTAGGAGCTTACAATTTCATGTTCTATTTCACTCCCCAATGGAGACTCAACCAACCCAAAAAAAGTGAAAAGACTGTTGAGTTGCGTATTATCAGTATAATAAGAGTTTCTTGCACAATCACCAACATTCCAATAATTTTTTTGGTGATACACATGTAATAAACTTAGCAAGATAAACATATTGACAGTCACAAAAGGTAGAAAGAAGACCTCAAACATAGAATAACCTTTAGATTATATCATAATCCATACATGAAGAGCAGCTACACAACACCTTCATATTTACTCCATTACAAAATAAAACAGGATATGTGTTCACAAGAACTTGATATGTGAAAAGCATAGCAGATATTTGATTTCAAAACTGGATTCCAAGACCAAGCAATCTGTCCACAATCCAGATGAGAGTTGCTTACAGGCAAACAAGATTTTTCTCTAAAATGCAATGATCCAGTAAACATCAGGCATTAAACAGAGAAGGGTTAGCTGACGCAGTACCCACTTGGACTTCAAGCAGTTCGAGGCGGCGCTCTAATGTATCAAGCTTCTCATTCAGTGATGCTAGTTTGCTCTTTGTTGTAGCCTCTGAAAAGGATTCATGATACCATAAATACAAGATATAATATTTCAAATCCAACAAAGTCATCCCCTATTTACAGCAACCACTCAATAATGAAGTTGACTGCAACAATAGACTAATTAAATGTTCTTAAATTCAAAGCAACCCTCAAGACTACACAAGAGCATACGTTTTTCTTTTTTTTTTCGTGAAACCAAAATTTGTGAAAGACCTATACAAATTTTGGCAAAAAAATCCTCACGTTCCAAACAGGATAAATATTCTAATTAAATAGCAAAAGAAAATTATACATGCATACATGATTGGTTAGGGCTGCAAGTTGGACTGTGCCAACTAGATCCCAGTGCCCAGTTGTTAAACCAAAGTTTGAGGGAACTGAGCCATAGACCACCAAAGATTGCATGAGGACACCTACGTTTAGGGGCATTGAAACTGAAGCTCAAAATCTGATGCTTAATACACTAGGATGTTGTGTTCTGAATATGAGATCCAAAAATGATTATCAGAACTTTACTCTGATAAACATTATAACAACTTCCGAAATGCTAACCCATACAGGCATATTATGCTCTTTAAGTTGAACATGTCCCCTAACTTCACCAAAGATGAGAATTGCTTAACGTTGTGTTTGGTTAGGGGATTTGGAAAGGGAAAGGAAAAAAGGTGTGTGAAACTACTCAAATCCCCCAACCAAAAACTGGGTAATAGGAAATCCAATATGAGGACATGTTTTCCAATACCAAACTATCAAATTAGATAGTCACAAAATTTGTGAAGCTCACAATCTAAAAGGATCAGATCACACTAAATAGGGAGGGGCCATCAACACTTGACATTACATAGCATCTCAAGATTGAAGTTTTACTAATAGGAACAAAAAAAATTTGGATTTCACCAAGGAAAACTAGAAAAATATCAAATGCCAAGAAACATGACCAAGTTTCCCCATCCATTCCCTTCAATTGTCCTGCTTTTAGGAAAGAAAATTTCACAGCAAACAAACACCACCACAGAAAATGGGTGCTTTTGAATTTAAACGAATTTGTGAAGCACATCTCAGTCGAAAAAGATAGATTTGTGATAATAAAGAAATCGAATCCATAAAAACTAAACCGTCAAGTTAGCCAAAGAGTTACAATCCAAGAACAAGACTAGGCATTGCTAAAACAATGAAAACCCACTATATTAGGTAGAAATGCAAAACCATTCACTCATTCAATCAATCTTCAAATTCGGAGAAAATATAAAGAAACAATAATGAGATCTGAGAGAGAGAGAGAGACAGAGAGAGACAGAGAGAAGATAAAAGAAGTACCGAATTGGACAAGGAAGTCGAAGAGGCGACGAACATTAAGCGAGATGTGAGAGATGAATTCGCGATTCTCCCAATCAGCTTGGACTGCTATCCCTACATTTACTGCGTTCGTTATCCCTCCCGCTCTAGCCATTTTTACACCCACAAAACTCCGAATCGAGAGACAGAGAGAGAATTTGAAGTCAGAGAAAGCTATTGAAAACCAAACGGAGTGTGTTTGTTAGTGCTGGTTGGAGGTTAGGTCGGTCGGTTGGTTGCTTGACCGCATTTGGGAATAAGCTATTTTTTATAAAATTTTTTTTTATTTTTTTTTTTTCACACTTCCTTATTTCATTTTAATGTTATATTTAAATTTTGGAAAATTTACCAATAAATCCCATTTCACAAACTATTAAACCAATTAGTCCCAACTTTATTCTTTTGCTCGGATAAGTCCTATCAGTGAGGAAGTTTGTTTTTTGCTGATCCTATTTTCCATATTTAGTGTAACTGTGTGGACGATTTTACCCATTATTGTTATGTTTTTCGCCACCAATATTAAGATCTTATATATATATATATATATATATATATATGTATATATACCAATCCCCAAAACAGAGTTAGTTGTTACAGAGTGAGACCACAAGCAAGGCAAGGCAAAACCCGGAATTCAATCTGATTTTCGCTCCCATGGAGTGGGTTCGAGGCGATTTACTCGGCCATGGAAGCTTCGGAACAGTGAATTTAGGAATATCCAAGAGTCAGAGCCTTCAATTTCCTCCATTAATGGCCGCGAAGTTCCACAACAGATCCAGAATCACGATCGGCTTCCAGTACGCCCAATCGCTCTGCCTCTCTTAGATCTGCTCCACCGCCGCCTCTCTTACCCTCAACTCCGGCTCACGCATCATTCTCCGACTGCCGCGGAGGCTCGGCGGGCGACGCACGAACCGACGGTTCAGGAAGATCAGATCGGTCAGCAACGGCGTCGCATCGATTAGCTATTGTGTGTGTGTGTGTCTGCCCCTCGCAATGTATGTGTGTATCTGTGTGTGTGTAGCTGTGTGTGTGTCTGCCCCTCACAATGTATGTGTGTATCTGTGTGTGTGTATCTGTGTGTGTGTGTGTGTGTATCTGTGTGTGTGTGTGTGTCCCTCACAATGTATGTGTGTATCTGTGTGTGTGTGTGTGTCTGCCCCTCACAATGTATGTGTGTATCTGTGTGTGATAGGAGAAAGAGCCCATGCCAGCCCGTGTGTGTCTTACGGTTAGATGAGGGTAATTAAGTCCCTCACAATTAAATAGGACTAAACGGTTTAATAGAATAAAAATGGGACCAATTGGTTCATAAGTTTAAATTTTGGAATTTATTGGTAAATCTCCCTTAAATTTTCTCCATACATATTATTTTAAAATAAAAAAATTTAAATGCACATCGTGATGAATGAAGTACATATTTTTATAAACAAAAAATTTTGACTCCGGCCTTCATCAATGACTATACTTCTTTAAACTTCTTGTATTCAGCCATGGATGCTCACTCTTTGCATTTGGGGGTTATTTGAAGTGTTTTAAATAAGTGTATTTTTTGATTTTTTAGATTAAAAAGTTGAGAAAAAAATATAGTTATTTGGGTTAATTTTTTTACTTTTTACGAAAAATGTATATTAAAAATTTGTATAAATTAGTGTGTAGAAGAAAATAAGAAAAATAGGCAATACGGACGTACCGCCTGGCACAATGAATTGAAGTTAAGAAATGGTTGCCTACTTTTCGGGCATTGCATTCGATGGTGTTGTTCGGCCCGTGGGGACCATCACGGGTCCCGTTTTGATAATCTAAACCATTTAATGTATATAACTCATTGAGTGCTATATGCGTTTGAACAATCACGTTGATCGAATATCGATAGCTATCTGACTGGATTAGTTTTTTTTTCAACCGTTAACTATAACACCATCCATTTTTTATACAAAACTGATTTGATCATATAGTTAGCGATATCCAATCAACGTGATTTTTACAGACATATAGTACTTGACGAGTTCTACACATTGACGATTCAGATTATCAAAACGAGACCCGTGATGGGCCTTCACCAGCCGAACAGCACTATGGATGTTCGCAGTTCGGATTTGGACGGTTTGCGAATTGGTTTGGCCCCGCCTGCATCTATGCGACTTGGGGAAAAGACAACCCACAACCGCCCACAGTGCGGTTTGCGGTTTGTGCACATAGGGTTTGTGGATGTGCAGGCAGTTGCGGGTGGTTTGCGGATTGAACTTTTTTCTTCAAAAATTTATTTTTGAGCCTTATTTTTTTCTCATTTTGTAAATATTTATTTTGGGTCATTTTCTCCCCATTTTCTAAAATGTTCCAACATTAATAATTAATGAATTAAAACTTATAAAACTAAAAATACAATAAAATCAATTTGTAACACAAACAAAAACAAATCATTCAAAATTTTAAATCAAATCATAAACTAACACAATCATATATTTCAAAATCCTAAACTATAACTCCATATTTGTTAAGGAATTTAAAATTCCAAACCACACTTCATCCGGGACAAGTTCAGTTATATAACAATAATAATATGATCAGTATTTATTCAGTTTCAGTTGATATAATACTAACAAATGTAATGCTACAGTAAGTTCAAAAAATAAAGGGTGTTTTGTTTTGGACAAAAATATCTAAGTGTGATATAGAAATGAAATCAATAGTTATGATAAAAATAAATAAAAAAATAAAGTGTGGACGGTTTCTTGCGGGTGCGGGTTAAACCCGCAACCCGCAAAAGTGTCATATTTCAAACCGCATCCGCCCGCATTGTGTCTGCGAAACTATCCATTTACATGCGAATTGGGCGGGTTGGACGGTTTTTGCGAATCGGATAAACCGTTGCCCACCCCTAAACAGCACTGTGTTATTTGTGCACCCTACCTGTGCAATTTTTTCACAAAACTCAGCAACAGCCTGTGCAACGTCAGACTGTGAGTTGTAATAAATTGTGTATAAAAATATATATATATATATATATATAAATAGTAATAACTTTTTAATTTTTTTAATAATTTTTTTACTTTTTAAATTTTTTTAAGTATCTCAAACTAAAAGGCCTCGTTTGGGAACAAGCTAATTTAGTAACTTTTTGACTATTTGGCTAAAATATGAGCTAAAAAAATTAGTATATTTGTGATAACTTTTTAACTTTTACGAAAAAATATGTAAAAAATAAAGAGAAAAAAGAATCTTTGATTTTTTGGTATGAATTATTGACTTTTTGACTAATTTAATAACTTTTTAACTAAAAGGGAGGGTTTTCAAATGAGACCCAACCCTTAATTATATAATAAACGTTGTGTTTGATCCACCTTAGTGACTGCGCGAAGCTTACTGGCTAAACTAATTTTTCTGACTCTCTCTCATTGATTGTATATAATAATCGCATATAATTTTCAAAAACAAACATATCATAAGCCTAAAGTCTCATGAGTCTACTGTTCAAACTCAATTCTCTTCTCTCTCAATCATAAATTATGCTCTTCTGTGGTTGGGCTATGTCGATCATGATGAATGATGATTGTGGAGATCACAAGAAACCATGTTGTGATGAATTCTCTCTCTCTCTCATATGTCAATCAATATAGAGAGGGATCAATAAATCAATATATATGTAATTGTAGATTTGAATTTTTTTCCTTTATTTTCGTTCATTCAGTGTTTGTCTCACGGATATTCGATGGCTATGTGAGTGTGTATTTGGGTGGAAAATGTGTGTATAAAATTTGAGTTAATGATTATAATTAGAATATGTGGCATGTGGGATGAGGCAAATTATATCTAATCAAATTTATAAATGTGTGTACTGAGAAATAATGTGTACTAAAATAAATAAATATGTGAAAATAGAATTTTTCTATTTTTTTAACTATTTTAACAGGCTATTTTAGTTTTTGTATTTAGGAAGATGGTTTGGCTTCTTTTATTTTTTTTAAAAAATTGTGTATAGAAAAATGTGGTTGAAATGATGTTGGGATGGTAAATCACTAAATTGCCCCTACAACAATGATGTTATTCTCAAGCATAGTAGGGGTGTTGTGGTAATACTCTTTTCATGGAAATGCAAGCAAGCAAGCGCTATTGAATCATAGGCCTCGTTTGGCATTTGGTTTAGTTGATTTTTTTTTGCTAGTCATAAGTCAATAAAATAAAATGTCATATCAAAGCCATAATTATTTTATTTTTTCTCTTACAAAAATTAAAAAAACTAAAAATCGAACTCAAATGAGAATTTTTAACCTTAGGCTAAAATAGCAACAAACCAAGCCACAGGGGCAAAAGCATCTTTTGATAACTTATCCTCGTCATACAAAGCCACGCAATGGATTTTTGTTTGTATATACTTATTAACTATTTTCACCTCAATCTTTGCTTCTCAAACATCTTTAGCACTCCAAAATATATTTACTTATGTTGTCACTTTAAGTGATCTTTTGTTTGTCATGAATCAATTAATTCTCTAATTTTTGGTGTGGAACAAAGTATTGTCATGAATCAATTAATTCTCTAATTTTTGGTGTGGAACAAAGTATTGTGCGGAGTTAAGTGTTACATTATTGTGAGAGTCACCTTTAGAATTCGTACGAGTCACCTCTTCAGTCTATATATCTGTTCTATTCTGTACCGTGATTATGATTACTTACTTATATAATTTCTTCTTTATGCTTCTATTATTTAAAATGATTTATGTATTTTTGTTACCAAACAAATCTCTATTTAGCCCAACTAATTATTTATGGTGATTTTATACCTTCATACTCTCATTATAATAACTCTGTTATGTGTTTAAAATTGTTAATCACTTTCAAGTGAAGAAGCTTAAGGAATGATTTGTTCTCTTGTCCGTATGTTGGTATAGCTAGACCAGGGCTTGGGTAGACACAGGCACTTGGTAACCATAATTTTAACTCTGACAATGTAAATAAATAAAAGCTCTAATGTATAATTTTAATTATATAAATATTTAAATACCTTTTTATTTTATTCTACTGTATTTTTAATCTGATGCATTTTAATATTAATTTATGTTTTATCTGATCGCAACGCCTAACATCTGAGTAAGGGATTGGATCCTGACAGTATCATAGTTTGACAACTAGTCTTTGAAGCCAAGCTCTTATTATTGTCATTTTTACATTACCAACTAATGTTATTTGTTATTCACCCAAAAAAAAATTAATCAGCTTGTTTGATTTAAATTTGTAGAATTTATTTTTTTTATTTTTCATATTTTTTTATATTCTAAGATTTTTTTTTTAATTTTTAAATACATCTAACATAAATACATTTAAAAAGTATAATATATGTGAAAAAAACTTTAAAAAAATTACTAAATACAAAAAATATAAATTAAAAAAAATACAAGAATTCAGTGTATTTTTCATATTCTTGTGTATTTATTGATTTTTTAAAATATTTTTTTTACAAATATTTTATTTTTTAGATACATCTAAATAAGATGCATATAAAAAAAGTAAAAAAAAAATTGCTTAGAAATAACAAAATACGAAAAATAAAAAACTTAATTTCTAGAAAATTGAATCTAAAAAATTGAAACCAAACAAACTGAATGTTATTTGTAATAGTTTTTATAAAAATAAAATAAAATTCAATCAGACACCTATATTATTATTATTATTATTATTATTATTATTATTTTAGAACCAGACACCTATATTTTTGAATATGAATTGGATCATGATTTAAAATTTGAAATTTTCTTTATTCATATTAATTAATTAAAAAATAAAGTTTATTAATTTATATGATATTATTTTATTTTATTATCTCATGTATTATTATATTATTAATTAGTTTTTTCTATCAAGGACACATTACATCATAAACATTATACAATATTTTTTCCTCTATACTAAAATATAGTTAAGTCTGTACTTTTGAAATAATTATATTAACTAAACTATTATTGATGCTAAAGCGACTAAAATTAATATAAATAATGAATAAACACTAAAATAAACAAAAATAAATGTACATTTTAATTAAAAATAATTGACAACATTATTTTTTTTTATTCATATTACTAATCAATTATTAATAAAAAAAATGACTTCTTTTTTTTATGAATTAAAACCTGAAGAGAATTAAAATGTGGACTAATCGTATTCTAAATTTCAAGTGAGAGAAATATAATTTATTTATTTTTTATTATAGTTATATCAAAATGTGAAGTTAACCATAGTTACACTCATACATAACTGTTTACTTTTATTATAACTAGTTGGCCGTGCTACAGTTTCAATATAAATATTTCTACAAATATTTTCAAATTTTAGATGTTCAAATCGATGTGTAGTAATTTTATGGTTAATATTATAAAGTCAGAAAATATTACAATGTGCATTTAAAAAAATATGTGTGATATGTCTTTCATATATTTTTTAGACCAATTTATAACTATTAATATTTCGCCATCTGATGGCTTAAGCAATAAAGCAAATTTGAGTTCTATACGTTGTGGAAACATATTTGAGATTAGTGTGTTTTTGGATTTGGATTTGGATTTGGATTTGTAATTTAAAATTTGATGTTCCGACTTTCATGACTTTTGAAATAAGATGTTTTCTCAATTATTTGAAAACCATGAACTTAAGGTATTGAACAGACGTCAGAAAGTTAAACCAACTTTGCAAGATGGTAAGTATTACACCCTATTGGGTTTGGATTAACTGCTCAAATGCAGCTGAATACTCCAATTGTTGTGGAGTACGTTTATATGATGAACTAAAGTTGTTGACTATGGTAAAAAATTTATTGTACAAAGTTGACGATAAAAGGGAAAAAGACAAAAAGCTACAAATGTAGAAACAGAAATATCACAAGTGTAGAAACCCAAAAAAAGTTGAGTGTAGAAAACCAAATATTACAGTGACAAAGCCGTAGCGGGACCATCCAGAACTTGTGAAATGGTACCAACCATTTTAGCAAACAGATTGCATGCATAACACCAGACACAGCTATTTAGCTAATTTTTCAATGCTTCCCCGACATTCTTGTCGAACCTCTGGAAAAGAGCATCAAAAAAACACTGTACCAACAAATTAAGAGGGACATCAAGCAAGCCTAACATAGGCAGATCCTATTCTATCCAAATTTACTGAACCTTTAACTAAAGAAGGAAGACTATAAATTTTTTTGAAAATGTAGTCTTGATGATCACAACCCAATTAGCAAAAGCATAAACTATCATTAGCCTCCTCAAAACCAAGAGACATTGAACAATGAATACCAGACAACAATTGCTGCATGACAAGCACATCATCAATGAAGAACTAAGGGGAGCCAAATGTATCATTCAGGAAATCCACCAAAAATTTCGAGTCACCCAATCTGCAACCAGCAAATATCCTTTTCAAACGTAGACCATACGAAATAGCCATGCCTTCATTTCTGCTACAGTATTGGAACACTGCACAAGCAACAACAGATAAGCCAAAAATAATTTGCCATGACTATCTTGGAGAATACCCCCACCACTATCCAAACCAGATTACATTGACTACATCTAGCAAATGATAAACACAATCAAGTAAAAACTTACCTACTCAATTCCCAAGAGATAAAGCAATTGGGAAAAACTTAGTTGCCAACAATTATGCAACAGAATCATAAGCCTACTAAATATAAACTTGAAAATTGAAATCCACTGAAACGGTGCAATTACGTAAGTTCAGTAACAAGGTAGATTGAACAGGGGTACTTTGAACAGGAATTTTCATAAACTATAGAAATTTATAAATAAAGAAACATGGTGTCATATTAAAGATAGTTGCTGATGATACAGTTCGTTACAGGCGGAACGGGTCGGACTAATCCACACTCTTCAATCCCACGTCCGAATGACCAAGTGTAACAGCTCCATCACGTATAATGATTAGAACTAGATTAATTAAGAAGATTTGAAATTTAATTGCCATTTATTATAATTTAATCTGGGATTCACGAAAATTATGGAGTTTGATTTGTATATGATTCTATTAAAGATTCATTTTGAAATTAGAAATTAAGTGTCCAAGTGGCTTAAGGAAGTGAAGTTAAGAAGTTAAATCAATTTAATCTTAATTACAGACCCATTTGGGAGTTTAATTAAATATTCGATTCAGTTTAGTAAAATTGAGATTCGATTAATTAGATCTTAATTGGAGTTAATCAAGTCAATTAAATTATGAAGATTGAGAATTGTGATTATTACGAATTAAATTTATTTATGGGGTGTCGAATTTGAATATGTAACTTAATTGACGGAAATTTGGAGTTTGGTCAGAAATTGAAGGCCTTAATGATTTAAGGAGCCAGTATTGAAGATGAAAATAAGTTTAATTTAATATTTAGAGCCTTTTAGAAGTCTGACTAAAAATCTTATTCAGAATGATAAAGTTAAATAAAAATAATTGTGCCTTAATGGAAGTCAAATTAGACTAATTAAATTATGTGGGATTTGTGATTAGTTATGATTAATTAATTACGTATTAACCAAGATTTATTAAGACTAAGTGTTGATTAATTAAAATTTATCCTAAGCATAAATTGCCTTAAGGAACAAACTAGAATTGCGGGTGTGGGTGCACTCAGAAACTTAGGTGGGTGTACTGAGAAATCTGATTGTGATTTGTGTGTGTGTGTGTACGTGTAATGTGAAGGCAGCACATGATATATACATAAATATATTAATATACGAGTTCTTGTATTGAAAAGAGATTGAGAACAAAAAAAAAGGTATGGCTTCATTTTTGTTCTGTGCAAACCCGTGAGAGAGAGAGAGAGCCAAGAGAGGGAAGGAAGCAATTTCAGCTCAAGAATAAGGAAAAATAAGGGAAGAAAAGCTAGGAGAAACAAGGGAATCAGAAGGGAATTAACTAGATTCTTTGAGATTAAAGTTTAAGGTATGGGATCAAACTTAATTTTTGTAGAATCTCTACATGACACTTGAAATTAAGAAGAGTTTAAGATCAATTCCATGGAATTTGTAAGGAAATGGGTTTGAACAAGGAAATAAAGCTAGGATACATAGTTATGGAAATAAACATGGAAATTGATTATTTTGGTTTGAGGTTGAATATCTCACTTGAATTTGGGCCTTACTTCTACATGCATGTTGGAATTTTAATGTTTTAGACTTAAATTCATGTGTGAAAGACTTATAAGTTTAAATTTGGAATAGATATGAAGAAAATTAAGCTAGACTCATGTTTGTGGAAAATTAGACATTGATTTGGTTTTGATCTCTAACCCATGCATGTAATATAATGAAAGAGTTTTATTCAAAATTTAATTATGTTATGAAACATCTATGATTATGAATTAAGTTTTGGGTGTGTTATGAAGAAAATTAATTAAATCTAAATTTGGCTAAATCAAGAATTAAATTATGATTTGATTTTGAATATAGAGAAATTAGTTAGTTTTAATTTTAAATTCATACATGCAAATATTTTCCTAAGAGTCATATAACTCAATTTCATGTAAATTAAAAGGGATTAGTAAAAGGGTGAAGAAATTGAATTAAATTCAAAATTATTGGAGTTAATTTGGAAATAACCATTTTCGGTTTGAATTTATTTGTCTTGCATGAAATTGAGTTTCAATTGCACATGCATAATAAATTTGCAAGGGTTTTGGAAGTTTAATTCATGTTTTAAAAATTTGTGGGTTTGATATGGAGAAAATGAGCTAAGACTAAATTTGGGCAATTGGAGCATGATTTTGAATGAATGATTCTTAATTGAGAGTGTTTACTAAATTATATAATGGTTCTCTATATTTTTGTACCAAAGATACAAGTTTGAGGCCTTGAATATCAAATTTGAACTTCAATTACAATTCTGGGAATTTCAGAATTTATGTTGTCCGCTCGAGTGAGGAAAGTCTCGCTCGAGCGTGAAAATTAAACTCCCAGAAATGTTTCAAAATTTTACAGTCCGCTCGAGCGATCAAAGTGGCGCTCGAGCGAGGACCCTATTTTCAGCAATTTTTGACTAACTCTATTAAATGCATAATTGCATCCTTATGACATTTTAAGTATTCTTAAGCATCAATTGGACTCACATACTCATGGAATAAACTAGAAACACGCAAAGAGAGTTGAATTAAAATGAAATGAATATTGAACAGTGCTTCTATTGTGTTTTTGTTATGTGATTTATATAGGTGGGCATCTGAGGCCTTATATCGACTTAACCCACTGTGAGTAACAATGTTGTAAAGCTATGTTCAATTATTACTATTATTTTCTGAATGATTAATTATACTGCTTCCTGAAATGATATTGTTTACTGAATGAATGTTTGTCCTATTTTATGAACTGTACCTGTGGCATCCATAACAACTTATTGTTACTGTTACTGTTACTGTTACTGTACTGTTACCGTTACTGTTACTGCTACTGTACTGTTACTGTTACTGCCACTGTACTGTTACTGTTTCTGCTACTGTTACAGAAATCTCTGTTAGTTCCAATGTTTAGAACCAATACTGTTTACTGTTTCGATGGCCATCATCTGACTGTTCGGTCTATTAAGACCTACTGTACTGTTCTGCTATTGCATGTACCACATATGACTGCTATAGTTTCTAAATGACTGACATGACGTGAAATATGAGACACTGATTGAATAACTAATCCATTGGTGCAATTGACTATTTTAATTACTGAAAGGACATTCATTCTTAACCCCCTTTATACATCTGTTATTCACTGGGTTTTAGCTCACTGTTTATATTTATATGTAGGTGTCCAGGCACCAGACCAGAGCTAGAAGCGTCGAGTTAAGCTCATGTTTTGTCCAGCTAACCGTTGTGCCTCACTTTGAGGTTCCGAGTCTTCTCGAGCCAAGGCTATTTTTTAGGTGTTTCAGATTCACCCTTTTTGTCTCTGTTATGTATTGACTGATTAAAACTTGACTGTATAGTTATGGTAAAGGGACTAGGTCCCTAACTCGTATGCTATATGTATATGTATATGGTTGGATGTGGTTATGTCCACAAAAGTCTTTTTTCATTCAGATTTTCACAGCTCATTGGACATCTTGTATTTACTGTTCGGCTTCCGTCAGCCCCTTACTTTGTACTATTGTCATTACTATTAAGCAGGCCTTTGGTAATCACGGATTACTGGCCGGTTACGATGCTAAACCCATAGGGGCGGGCTTGGGTCGTGACAGAGTGGTATTAGAGCACGAGTTAATATCTCACACACGTGTCCATTGAGCATTAGAATGTCTACAATTGATTTAAGCTTCATGCATATAATAAGTAAGCAAGAAGTTATGCATGCAAGAATACGTGTATATACGCTTGTGTAATGTGTTTAAATATTGAAATTAAGAATTAAAAGCTATTGTGGATTTTTGATAATTATAAGGAAATTGGAATGTATTGAATCAGTTTAGCAGTGAGGTTAAAAGCTAAGAATCATGGTGAAATTTCTGAAATTTCTATTGTTATAAGGAAATCAGAAAATTTGACTAGTACTTTGGTGAGAATAAGTATGTTGATGTTTGGAAACATAGTGTTATGCAGAATTAGAATCTTTGACGAAAGTCATGGAAGCCATATGAGTTGTATGTCAAATTGGACTATGAGAATATTTAAGAAATTGAGGAATTTAATGATCAACGTAGTATGTGGAACTATAGTAATTGAGGATGAGAAAAGTTATTTGATTTGTAAAATGGTACATTTGGACGAGGACCTATTATGTGAAATGTTAAACCGTAGAGTCTAATGCCTTTGTTGAATGACCTTGAAAGTCCGATTGGAATCATGTTTGGCCAACGTAGCTTCGAATTGGAAATTCTTGGTAAATTCTATGGGAATGAATAGGTTACCCTACCAGTGTCCTTATATGCCTATATGTGTATGCCTACTTGTATATGATATATGCTTTGTGTTATAATCTAAGTCAGTTAAATTAACCCAAGTGTTATCAACCATCTTCTTGTGTTTAACCCTTCTCTCCTGTCATTAGGGAAAGATGGTGAAAAGTGTGAAGGAAGTGGAGGTTGAATCCTTATCAAAGCGTCTAGACAAAGTAGAAGAAGTGTTAGAGAATATGATGAAAGCTATGCAAACATGTCATGAGAAAATACAAGATCAAAAGAAAAAAGCTAAGTGTGAAGTCAATGAAGGTATCAAAGAATATATTTGAGAGTGTTGTGATAGGAGAGACGAGCAATCCTAACCAAGGTCGTAAAAGAAGCAAACTTGCCCCAACATGTTTAATATGTCTCAAACGTCATGAGCAACTATGTTATCGACTCACGGGGGCATGCTTCAGATATGGAGAAATAGGGCATCAAGTGTGAGATTGTCCGAAACCTAAGGGATATTCCAAGTCACTCAATTAGATTATAAGTGAGTGGTATTTTTATAAAGCTATGTTATAATATTTTGGTAAAATCTTTGCTTTGTTTCATTTTGGAAAAGTATTTGTTCAAGTATGAATGATTATCTGCTAGTTTTGTATCAAGTATTATGTTTGTTGGATGACATTCTTGGAAGGTCCTTTCGTGCTAGGGGACATTAAGCCTATGTAGCACCTTTGTTTAAGATATCTCTTTGCCATCAACGGTCATGTACGGATGGTACCACCGACGGTCTTGTACGGGTGGATTACGTTTTGCTATCGACGATCATGTACGAATGGTGCCACTAACGGTCTTGTACGGGTGGGTTATGTTTTGCCATCGACGGTCATATACGGACAAAGGGAATAATGAAGAAAATGAGGGTTGTGAGAGGGTTGACCGACCATGAGGAGGGCCAACCGCGCAAGGTGGCCGAATGGAAGAACCAACTGTGAGGAGGGCCGACCGCAAATGGTGACCAGTCATGAGGAGGGTCGACCGCGAAGGCGACTAGTGTGGGGCCGACCTTGAGGAGGGCCGAGCATGAAGGGTGGCCGAGGGGAGAGACCGACCATTGGGAGGGCCGACCGCGAAGGGTGGCCGAGTGGAGAGACCGACCATAGGGAGAGCCGACCACAAAGGGTGGCCCAGTGGAGAGACCGACCATGGGAGAGCCGACCGCGAAGGGTTGGTGGTGCGGCGCGGGGCTCGAGAGGCGGCGGGACTGTAGACACCCCATTTTTGACCGACCTTAAGACTCAGACATCACCGACTGAGCGCTTGGTGATGTTGAATAATGTGCTCGTTCAGAAGTTTCAGAGTCACGGCCGTGAGCCCTGCCTCCGGATTTCCGAACCCTCTTCTGTGCCTTGTCTCGGTTTGCGAACCAGACTCGGTTTTCTCTGTCTCTTTTTCTGAGGGGAGGGAGAGGTCCTGTAGACCATCTCTCAGTGGCCGTGGGCTACATTTTGTGGCCGCAGGCCATTTTGCCCATTTCGGAGTCCGGTTTCCGGTTTTTCGGGACCGTTGGCCGTGTGCCTCGGTTCGGGACCGCCTAACCATCTCCGTTTGCTCTAAATTTTGGCATACATCTTATTTACTCCCTTTTGAGGGACACTGGGGTATGAGAAACCCACTTTGTGGCCGAACGCCACTTTCGGTGCTTAACAGCCCATTTTCGAGACCCCGAACTGCGTGTTTTGGCCCCCGAGCATTCGTTTTGCATCGGTTTTCGTTCATTTTTGGCAGGTGCCTCTGTTTTATCACCAGGAAGGTCACTGGAGGGTGGGAGGCCAGCAATTATCTTAGCAACCAGTTATATTCCATTTTCGCCCTCCGACACCCGTTTTTTCGCACTTCCGAGCCAATGTTGAACACCTTGGAGCCACTTTCTTCAACCCCAAACCACATATTTGTGTTGTACACACATGGGAGGACCCTAAAAGTTTATGGCCGGCCATTAATTCCATTTGAACCTTTTGAACCCCTCCTCAAAATGGCTTGTTCTCTCTCCTGTTTTAGAGTTTCCAAATTCGAACTACAGGGTTGTGAAGAGGAGACCTAGGAGGCAACCTTTTTGTGGTGGCCGGCCACTATTCCAACTTGGCCTTTTTGACCCCTAGCTGGCCGGCTAGGGTAGGTGGCCGGCCGGCCACATGGAGCTTTGAAAATGGGCCGGCCATGTTCCTCTCTCTGCACACTTTACAGCTGTATAGCTGTTTCCCCCAGAAAATATCTCAATCCGGGGGATATTTTGTGGGGGAAAGCTTGCCTCCTTTTTCCCCCAACTTTACACCCTCTTTTTGTTCCTTATAGCCAGCTTTCAACACTTGTATGGGGGGTTGGAACAAAATTGCTTTGAAGCTTTACATACAACTCTCCCTCTATCTCTCTCATTTTCTCAAAAATATCCAAGTTCTACACCTCATTTCTTCATCATCATCAAGCCCTACCACCACCCCTCCATTCCAGCAGCAAGGGGAGGAATTCCAGCAGCTTGAAGTCATCAAAGTTGGTCCAAGAAGCAACAAAAACATTGGTCTTCAAAGGTGAGTAGCATTTCCCCCTTTTTGGTCCATTTCTTGCACCATTTATAAGCCATACATGCTTATTGATTTGAGCTCCAACCAAAACTGAAAAGGTCATTTTTTTGAGCTCATTTTCTTGTTCCATTAAGGGCTCAACCCTGTTTGAGCCCTCCATATTGCACTTGCTTCAATATCCCCCTTGAATGCCATTTTCTTGCATGCTTTGGCAGCCTATCATGCTTCTGTTTTTGGTCTTTTTACAGGCCTATAAATAGTCTTATTTTGACCTTCTTAACATGTTTCATTAAGGGTCTTTGGCTGTTTGTGGAATATTTTGTATACTTTGTGTTATAGCCTCTTTTGAGCCTCATTTTGCATTGCATTTTTAGCATGTTTGTATACTGTTTTGGAGTTTTTACAGTTCTGTAAATATGCTTATTTTTGGTCCCTCTTCAATGTTGTAGAAGGGAATTTTTCAGTTTGGGCTGTGCATATATCACTTGCCTCTTTGGCCACCTTTTGGCTCTTTGGCCACCTTTTGGCCCTTTTTCTTGCATGAGAGCTTAGCCATATCTATGTTTGTTTTTAGGGTTTTTACAGTTCTGTAAAGTGGCTTATTTTTGGCCCCTCTTCAATGTTGTTGAAGGGCCCTAACCTATTTGGAGTTAACAGCTATGAGTTGCTTCATAATCTCATGTTTAGGGCCATTTTTGCATGCCATTGTTGCCCTATCTTTACTTGCTGTTTGGCCATGATTTGTACTGTAAAAATGCTTATTTTGAGGCTGCCTTGCTTCTGTCTTTTCATCTCATGTACCAATTATGCATGCTTTGTATAGCTGTAGTTCATTCTATGTGCCTAATTTTGCATTTCGAGAGAGATTCCATGCATCGGGTGTGTTTTCGCCTCATTTCGAGGCTGTTTTCCCCCACATTTCATTGCTAAAAATCCATTAGCATGTTTGCGTATCATTTCCATGCCATTGCATTGCGTATGCCATTGCCTCGGTTTGCGTGCCCGAGTGAACGCATTTCGAGGCACTTCATTTTCATCCATCGGCCTCTTATGAGAGTGTGGCTGAGGCTCTCTCATGTTAGTATAAGTCCATGTTGCATTCTATATGCCATTTCCATGTCATTGAATTGCGTATGCCATTGTCTCGGTTTGCGTGCCCGTGTGCACGCATTTCGAGACATCTCATTTTCATAGCATTGTGTATGCTAGGCTGTATCTTAGTTGCATTCATGCATGTCATATATATTGCATTGTGTTCGGAATAGGAGTTAGCCCAGGCACGGGAAACGAGGTACGTTTCGTACTCCGAGTGACGGAACGTGTCTCAATTCCCCAGTCACCGACACTCTGGATCATCCATGATGGAGTTAGGTTTTGTTGTGTTTATACGTGCATTCATTCCATATTGAGTTGCACATTTCGACCCTCTGCCATCATGCATCGATATGCGTGATTGGTGGCACGAGGATCGAGGCATGCATATATTTGTGAAAATACATTTGCTATGCCCCTTTCCTGCTCTCTGTTGCAGCAAAATAAAGAATCAGCAACTTTTCGGGGCTTGGCACGCTTTTCAAGAACAGGTGTAAACAGAGGCTAATTGGGGCATCCCAGTGGATTTCCGCGCAAGGCAGCCCAGACATGCATCATCCATCAGAAGCAAGGCAGTCCCTGGCTTGCATGCTAGTTTTATTTATTTTCTTAGTTGATTTGTTAATTAATGGAATTTGTATATTATTTGGACTGTAAATTTGGACTGTAATATTTTTTTATTCGGAACTGTATTATTTATTCGGACCCTCTGCGCGAGGGCACAACTGTAATAAGTGTGCGTGTTGTGTGTTGTATGTCTTCCAACCCCACGTCTTTCTCCCTTTATATTTATCTGCTTTTGATGGTTAGATTAGAGCATGTTTAAATTAGCATACAGTATGATAGCATGTTTGCATCATTCATCTGTATTGCATGCACCGGGCTCAGCGCATCATACTAACTGCATCGTATTTCAATTCCAAATTGAATACATGTTAGTTGTAGCATTCCATATGCCATGTTTAGAATAGCCGAGCCTGCTATAATTGCATTTTGCATGTGTTGCATTAGGCATTTCTGTATACTTAGGATTCATGCATGATTTCTAATGAGTTTCTGTTTTGGCTTGGAGTACTCGGTAAGGTTTATGTTTTAGCATCCTTGCATGCGTGTGAGTGACTGCCATGAATAGCATGTTACCATGAGGCTAATTGCTTATGTGATATAAACTGCCTGAATGCCTGTGGGTGAAGGTTGGGTTACTTGGATTGGATAAAATCATCAAATGTTTTAAAGCCCACTAGATAGTGGCAAAACCATCTTTTCTAAACCCACCTGCGGGTGGCAAAATGCATTTTAAGCCTACTTGCGAGTAGCACCATCAAACCATTTTCAAACAAACAAACAACATGAAATGTTTTATTCCAATTCAGGCGATCCAGTCTATACTTGTATGCTGTGTGCATCACATAGTAACCTAGGCTAATAACCGGAATAAGAACATACAATGTTTCAAAAATAAGATATCATGGTTAGTAGA